AATTCCTGCCCCATCCCCAGGGGTTAGAGCGGGGCCCCAAAGGGAACATTTACAAATATATTAAAATTCTTATCCTTTGATGACATGACAAGTATTGTATTTCACTTAGTTTACATGCTGATTTCCACATCACATCTAAACAATAAAATAAAGCTACCAGTACCTATGATATAACTCAGGTGACCGCTAAGGCCCTTGGGCCTCTTGTTTGTTTTGAGATGGATCTAAAAAAATGTAATTGTTAGTTTTCCTAAATTTGTCCTTACTGGTGCATGTTTTATTTTGAAACTTATTGGAAAAAAGATGGCCACCAGACACCCATCTTGGAATTATACAGTTCAAATTTATTATCGGTGTTTTTAGCTCACCTGGTCCGAAGGACCAAGGTGAACTTATGCCATACCGCAGCGTCCGTCATCCGTCAACTTTACACTAGCTACTAGTAGGGATGCAACGATTCGGGTATATCTCGATTCGATTCGAATCTCGATTTGTGACTTCGATTCGATTAATTTCGATTCGATTATTAGCATCCAAGAAATACATGATTTTTCAAACATATTTACTAATTTAGATGAAAAGTCAGACCATATACGGACAATAACTTGGGTTTTTGTTCAGACCGACGATCGTTGTTAGCGGAAGACTCCGAACTGACCGAAGCAGCTTTATCACAGTCCACATTGTGTTTACGTTTTAGATGTGCGTTCATTGCTGTCGTCGAGCCAGCTTTGTATGACATCTTTAAATAACATATCTTGCAAATAGTGACATTTTTTTCCGTTTTTCCGTCGACGATTGGAAACCCAAAGTGTTTCCACACGGGAGATTTATATGATGCGGGCGGGTCGGCTAACTCGTACTCCATGTTTGCAGTAGTTTGCAGTAACAGCAATGCGCAATTTGATTGGCCTACGCAAAGTGTGTTGGCCAATCAAAATCTGCGTTTTAACAGGACTAGGAGTGCGTCTAAATGTAAAGTCAAACACGGACCGAATTTGTAAGAATCGAATCGAAATATCAGAGTTGTGAATCGAGAATCGAATCGGGAGCAAGTAATCGCGGTTCACCATAATCGCGGTGAATCGTTTCACTCCTAGCTACTAGTCATGAACCACTGAGCGGATTTTACCAAAATTTGGTGTGGAGCATCCTTGGGTGAAGAAGAATCAATTTTGTATAAATGGTGGGTCTGGCTCCCCAGGGGCCTGAGGGGCGGGGCCAAATAGGGGAAATATAGCAAATTATTCTTTAAAATCCTTCTTCTTCTGTAGGAATGAAAGGATTTGTTCCATATTTGGTCAAACGCATCCTTGGGGGAAGGGGAACAACGTTGGTATAAATGGTGAGCCTGGCCCCCCTGGGGGCTTAGGGGCATGGGCCCAATAGGGGAAATATAGCAAATTATTCTTTAAAATCATTCTTCTGTAGTAATGAAAGGATTTGGTCCATATTTGGTCAGAAACATCCTTGGGGGAAGGGGAACAAAGTTTGTATAAATGGTGGGTCTGGCCCCCCTGGGGGCTGAGGGGTGGGGCCCAATAGGGGAAATAGACTTAAATCTTCAAAATCCTTCTTCTTCGGTAGGAATGGCAGGATTTTGTCCATATTTGGTCTGAAGCATTCTTGTGTGAACTAGGGAACCAATTTTGTATAAACGGTGTGTCTGACCCCAGTGTAGACAGAGAGGTGGGGCCCAATAGGGAAAATAGAGGTAAAACCTTTAAAATCCTTCTTCTACCATAGGGATTAAGGGATTTTATCCTAATTTAGTTTGGAGCATCCTTGGGCCAAGAGGACTCAATTTTGTATTGGCAGTAGGTGTGGTCTCCGAGGNAAACCTTTAAAATCCTTCTCCGACCATCGGGATTAAGGGATTTTATCCTTATTTAGTGTGGAGCATCCTTGGGTGACGGTGACTCAATTTTGTATAATTGGTGGGTATGACCCCCGTAGGGGCATAGGGGTGGGGCTCTGTTTGAAGTTTGTTCTCTATATCTCAAGTACTGGATGGATCTTTCTGAAATTTCATATGTACTAACAGCACCTACCATGGAGTGCTAAATCTTTACTTCATACCAATTACTTTAATTATATTCAGGTGAGCGATACAGGCCCTCTGGGCCTCTTGTTTAAGTACTTGCCAAATCTTTCTCTTATTTTATTTATAGATTTCCCTGGTACAATGTATAAGACAATTCTTCCTGTTTACTCACCTGGTTTTGCATATTTTCATTTTGCACTTCATGCTGCTTGTTCAGTAGGAAAATATGACTGCAAGAAAATAGCAATCTCTCTTGTTCATTATTTTTTACACATTTCTAGGAAATGGATCAAATAAGGTAACTTTGACAGCACACTGTCAAAATGAAAGCTTTTAACTCATTCACCCCTGAAATTTTTATGATTAACTATTCCTACCATTGAATTGGAAGAGTTCAAATGTGTCTTCAGGGGTGAATGAGTTAAAGCCAGATGAGCTGTTTAGGCCTCTGGGTCTCTTGTTTTTAAGTATCTGAATGTATATATTTGTGAGACAGTCGAGTGTATGACCAAAAAAGAAATATCTCCTGAAAAAGTGATTTAAAGAAGTTTGACTGACAATGTTTATTTTTACTTTTCTAGGAACCTGTTACTACACCTCAAGATGTCAGGACCAAGAGAAGGAAGTCGGACACGACAGGGTTGTGTCAGGGTCATCTTACCAAACAGCCTACAAGGAGGTCAGATACCACAGGTCAAGGTCAGCAGAGGTCAAATACCACCGATCAAGGTCAGCCAAGGTTGGATATCACAGATCAAGGTCAACAGAGGTCAAATACCTCAGGTCAAGGTCAGCAAAGGTTAGATACCACAGATCAAGGTCAACAGAGGTCAAATACTACAGGTCAAGGTCTACAGAAGTCAAATAAAGATCAAAGTGACCTGACTAGGAATCCAAGCACTGAAAAACACACCAGAGAAATGAGGTCGAACGATCGCCAGCACCTACTTGAAGAGATCAAGAGAGCAGATATGAAGTCAGTCAGTCCAGAAACACACAGCGTACCTACAGGTTTGTTTACTGTCAAGTCTACCAATAAATAGGAAATAATTCTTCAATCATGATGAACATGGCACTTTTTTTTTTGATGTCAGGGGAGGGATAGTTGGATATTAATTACCAAAAACGTTGGGCATCGAGGCTACTGCCTGTTGCCATCACCTTGAAAAATAAATATACTATGGGTGGTTGGGTGGCACAATGGATAATGCACTTGCTTTTCACCAAGGCGGCCGGGGTTTGATTCCCTGATCGGACGTGAAAAGGTTCACCAGCACGACCATGTTGGTTTTCTCGGGGCACTCTGGCTCCTCCCACATGAAGACCCCATGCGCTCTAACATCTGTGTCAACAGCAGTGATCATTATCAGTTGTAATAACTTGTTTCATGTTGTAAAGTAAATAAAATATTTTTTCAATGCAGTACAACTAATACAGTATGTGAAACTACAATACACTCCTGATTTATATTTGTTCTGTGTACAGGTGATACCCAAACAGTCGGAGGCAGTGGAAAGAAAACTAAGGACCTGTCGCACCCTGAACAGAGTCCAAGTAGAATCACCAGGTCCAGACAGAAATCAGCCGACTGTAGACAGACTAGAAATTCAACACAGGATTGTCCTGATAATGACAACTTACTGCAGTATCTCGCTAACGAGTCATGTGGTGCTATGGAAACAAAACGGCAAGATCGACCAGAAACCGACCAAAATTCATGCGATCCATTACTTGTGGACATTCGTTACGGAAGTTCTGATGACAATTCTGATGTGGACATGATTTACAGCAATGTGACGGAAGAGAAGATTGTGTGTGAAGAGGAAAACATTATCGAGAATGAGGAGCCAGTTGGTAAAGATTTAATTTCATTGGGGAAGAAAACCAAGATGTTGAAAGATAAGATACATCAAGCAGGGTCAGTGACTGGTGATGGAATCAATGATAAAGACGGTACCTCTGGATCAGAAGTCAAAAATGCTACCAGTTCTGATGTTGTACAGCAGGAAAAGGATGGAAATTTGAACAGTAACAATTTAAACACAACCACATCGATTGATATGCAGTATAAAGAAAATTCTGAATATAGGCCAAAGAAAAAAATGCTGTTCAGAAAAAAACAAAAAACAGGTGTTCAAGAAGAAGAGGTTATACAGTTGTCCGGTACCAGTTCGGGTGGCAGTTGTCACGGTATTTTCGACAAACGTAATAGTACACGTACCTACGGCAAAAAGCAGGATTCTAAACTGGAGAAAGATAGGATAGTTAAAAAATGGCTGAAATCAGCCTCCCCAAATGTGGATGAATTTGCCGACGCTAACAGCATGCCTGTTGTTGAAACACAGACGGGAGAGATCTCACTGGCTTCAGCTACAAACATGTGTGTGGTAGGTGAGAATGTGACGAGTAGCGGTGTTGGAAACCCATTAAAGCTGAATGTTTCTGTCGATCAGGAGGCAGGACTGGTTGTAAACAGCAGAAAGAAAATCTTCAAAACCAAACTTGATCATCCAGTGGGTGTGGCTACGACAGTCCAACATGTGAACGGAAAAGGAAAGTTCGTTGTTCGAAAAGTTTCTCCCGTCCGCGTGGAACAAACATTGGAGAAAAGCAAATGGGCCTTGGAAACGAAATCTGGAGAAAAGTGGAGTGATCCTTATGAGTTCAAGCCAAGTCAAAAGACTCCCAAGACAAGTAAGGGAAAGAAAAAGGTGCTTGTGAAAAAAGATGCCAAGAAATGTCGCAAACATCCTATCAATATCCAGATAGGAGACAGCACAGCAACCCTCAAAGAGAAAGAGATTGATCTGACCTTACAGGCAGGCTCAAGAGAAGATATGCAGGGGTCAAGGTCAAGTCTGAGGTCAAGGTCAAAGGAAAATATAGAAGACAGTTTTAATCACTGCAGCAGCAGGAGAAAGAAGCAGAGCAAGGTTAAATCACATGGTGTGCTGCCACAGGGAACGGAAGATGTGGAAAAGATTATTGAAGAATTAAATCAGGCTGAGGCTTTTGACTTAGTTACATGTACACAGGAGGCAAAAGATCAGATCGTGGAAAACAGAAACAATTCTCCACAGATTGCGGAAGAAAGAACTGGTGATGGAGAAAGAAGTGACGGAGAAAGAAGTGACGAGGAAAGATGCATGGAGCCAGGTATTGAAAGCCTGGACAAAATTAAAGACACACAAGTAGAGACAGACATTAGAATTGTAAATCATGACCATCCACAATCTGCAACAAACAACGATAAAGTTCTAGCAGCCATACAGACAGAGATGGATAATGAAAATAAGAAATGTGATGATTCGGAATTTGCAACAAGTAGTGTCAACATGATTGCAGACACATGTACAGAGAAAAATACTGATACAGAAAGTCGAAAATGTGACCATCCAAAATCCTCAGCAAATAGTGTTGACATGATTTCTGATACAGAGACGTCAACTCTGCAGCACACTGAACCTGAGACAGCGCATTCTATAGATGTTCCTGACACACAATTGGAGGATTTGCCTGGCAGTCACGGTAAAATTCCACCTCCACCTGTATCACACAAGGCTGTGATGAGTGAAGAATTGCAGGGTCAGAGTGATTCTGGTGCAGAGGGGAAATGCAGAAGAAAAAAGCAGGATGTAGAAGGTTCTCAAGGTCAGGTGGCGGGCAGAGTTAGTACCGAGGGAGACGCAGAGTATGGGAGTTTAGTGAGTGATGCATCCTGTGTTCCCAATACTGACGACAGTGTCGTGTCCAGACGTACGAAGAAACTCCGGAACAGTCTTAAGTGTAGGAAATCTGTGACGTTTACAGACAAAGTCCAGCACATCCTGGATCATGACAACTCACAGGGCCACGCAGGGAGAGAAACTAGAGGAGGTAGGTCAATGGGAAGTGAATCCAGAGGTCACTCCCAGGGCCAGCTGGATAGAGGAACCATGGCCAGAGGGCAAAGGTCAAAGGAAAACTTAATACAAGGTGTGCTATTATGATTTTTTTTGTGGGGGCAGGGGGTATTTTACTTGAATCTGACATTATTTCATTGAAATAGTGTTATAAATCTGACCTCTTGTCATTAGCAAATAATGTTTCAAATTTAACTTCATTACATTAAAATATAGTAGTTTGTTTAAAATCTGACTTCATTTCATTAAATCACAATGTGCTAATGAATTTTGTTATTAAAAAGTACAGGGCGATAGAAATCTGATTTCATTTAATTGAAAAAGAGTTTGCTAAAATTTGATTTCTTGTCAATATATATACAATGTATTATAAATCTAACTTCATGTCATGTAAACATATCTTTGTGAGCTATCTTGCAACTTGTCCTTTGTTTCAACATCACAAAGTCAATAACTAGAATTAGTATTCAAGATTTTACTATGTACTAGGTATACATATGATGTACAACTTAATTCTCTAATATTTGTGCAGATGGTATTACAATCAAACAAAATTAGTGACATACAAAAATTCGCAAAAATACTTTCCCTTTCTTTTTACAAATTTCTTTCTTTCTTTCAGCTCTACAGCAGAATGGATTGTCGTCACCTGGTACTGGAAGTCAGCAGGTAACTATGGCTGAAATCCAGTGTATCCAAGGTGAGCCTGGACAGAACGACGACCATAGCCATCGGACCAAGAGACATTTGTCACAAGGAAACGTGAACGACGCAACTAATTCCTGCATTGCTGACACTCTACCAGACAAGATGGGAGACAGCCGTTCTCTAGGTAACGGTGGTAAGTCTGGTGGAGTTGAACGAGCTCACTTACACTCGCCAACCTCTCGAAAAAACACGGAGGAGGAAATGGTCGCTGTTCACTCCCAAACATTTGACCCAGAACAAGAATTTTACACAGAGTCTGAGATGTTGGAAGACAGAATTCCAGATACAGATGCTGAAACTGTTCATCCATGTGGGGAAAATACACTAGAATCTGTTAGTACACAGCCTCCTTCTGATGACCTTCAGTTTGGTGTGAGGAGTGGCTCGAACGGCATCTCAGAAAGTTCATCATTTGGTAAGAATTCAAGAGGAAATAGAAGCAGAAAAACTCGAGAGACTCTACCGGATAAATCCCCATTAGTTGTCATGGAGACTCAGATGAGTGGAAGTGCATCAAGTGGGTGCGAGACATTAGGGACACAGGAAAGTGTTTCGCTTCTTGTTGGCAACGATTTGGGGCGAATAGAAAAACCTGAGGCTGAATTGGCAGGAACAGGATGTGTGACAGCAGAGAAACAACCAGACAATAGTTTTACAAAAATATCTTCTAAACGCTTGTCACAGGAATGCTCTGTGGAACACAGCCATAATGGAAAGGCAGAGGAGGACTCTGTTCAACTTGTGTCACAAAGGAATAAACTGAAACGGCAAAGCCCGAGAATGAAGTCACACTCCTTAACATCTCCACAACTTCCTGGATACAGTGCTACAAAAAAGAAGCCTAGTTGCCAAGACGACAAACCAAGCTCCGGGGTCGTTTGTGCCGAGTCTGAGGTCATCCGTGGAGAACACAGCACCACAAGTTCGGGATCAACTGTCATTCCTGCGACCGCTCTGGCTTCAAGAGACTCAACTCAGATTATTCAGATCTGTAAAATGGAGAACGAACCACCAAGAAGAGGCAACAAGAAAAATAATGTGATAAACATGTCAACAGATACTTCAGCTTCAGGGAATGTTAATGACATGTCATTATCAGAAGTTAGTACAGAAAATTCAAAGTCAAGGAAGTTAAGGTCAAGTTCAAGGTCATTAGAGAAATGTTGCAGCAAGGAGGAAGTCATTCAACAGAGGTTTAAGGAATCTGAGGCTGTTTGGAGTCAACAGGGAACTCAAGGTCAACAAAATGGCCAAGGTCAGAAGGGCATCCAAGGACACGATGAGAAGGAAAATGACAAACCGTCGGAAAGTGATATCAACCAGAATACTGTTCAGGAAGAAATTGAAGAAAGAGCCACGAAACTGGTCGATGCGAAACTAAAAACTGATGAGTCTGTGGACTTGGATGACCTCACACCAACCTTAAAGCCTGTAAAAAAAGGTCACAACCGTACGCGTGTCACTAGACAGACTTGTTCTCCGGAGGACATATTTGTGATGGACTCCGAAACAATGGCAAGTGGACAAGCCTCGAGTGTTGTTCAGAATCAGGAAGGGGTGATAAATCTGACATCGCTACAGTTACTGGACCCCTCTCAGCCTCAATCATTGGACAAGGACACAGAACTAAGCGATTGTGGTGACAGTGAACATTCCGTGATGGAAACAAGTCAATCTATAGAAATTTTAGACGAAAAAATGAATGAGGTTAATCATGTGCAGGATAAAAAATTGTGTGTCGAAGAACAAGAAGATGTGATGATGGAAAAATACAAAATGGACGAAAAGGAAGTTGTGAAAGAACAAGGCAACGTTAAGATGACTGATGAGGTCGGATCGAGCAGAAGTAAAGGGGAAAATAGTCGCAAAGAAGTGTGTAAGAGACACAATGACAGTGATCCCGACTCCGATCTGAGTCAGAGTCAGAGTCGACAGACGAGGGAAACAGGAGTTCGATGTAAGCGAGGATTGGCTACCAGAAAATGGCAACTAGAAAGCCAAACTAATTCTTGTGAAACAAGTGCTTCGAGTTCTAAGGAAAGAGATTCTTTAAAATCACCAGGACGACCAAGTTGTGATGAACAAAATAGCAGAAAAAAGGACAAGAAATTAGTATCAAGTGATGACTTTATAAACAAAGAGATACCTGTTAAGACTCAGTCCCTTTTGAATGACAGCAGAACAGTTTCCGATAATCTGAACATGATCAGCTTAAAAGAAAAATTTAAGAAGACATTTAAAAAATGCTCAAGTAGAAGTCCAAATTTAAATAGAGTGATTGGTTCTTTTCCAAAGCCTGAGCATTCACCTCATCATAACCACACTGTACAGCAGAAAGAAAACGGTTCACTTGTCTCAGATGAAGATGAAATGGAGACACCTGATATTGTGGATAAGGCAGAGCAGAAGTCGGAGTCCGTCATTGTGATACAGGATTCATTTCCATGCAGCAGGAGAACAACGAAGGAAGTTAATTCCTCTAGGCAGACTGGCAAAAGTCACTCTGCAAACTTGGTACAGAGAAGTTCCGATAGGAAAAGAGGCAAAGATTCTCCAAAGATGTCAGCCTCCCAAGAGAGTGCAGAAGACAAGTTGCATCTGTCAAGTGTTTTGGACAAGTCTGAGACAGATGAGACAGATGAGACTTCCAGCTTTGAGGGACAAAGGAGTCGTGTCATGGGACGAAAACAGCAACGGCCTGTGATAGAGGAGAGTGAAGATGAGATGTGCGACGCCAGCTCACCACTTCCTGATGTCGTTCTGAACGGCTGCCAACAGGTGAGTATAGCGTAAAATTACAGAAAAACCTGTTAAATCCTTCGACTGTAGACTCCAGAACGCTTTTAAAAGCAGATACTTGTATAAACCAGGGCCCATATTCATGAAACCGTTCTCATGCTCAAAGTCAGATTTTGTGCTCAAACCCAATTTCATATTCCAGTGATAAATTTATGAAAAATTACATTTTGTCAATGATCTGGAAGAATTTGGAAGAGTCTTAGGGCTGAAGACCATTTCCAATGTAAAAACTTAGCTTTTTGACCGTGTAACATGATTTTAAACCAGCGGCTAGAAAGTAGGTTTGAGCACAGAATCCATGTTTGAGCACGAGAACGGTTTCATGAATTTGGGTCCAGAACCTGTATAGATTGGGCCTCGATGTTATGATTAAATAGGTAAAGTATGAGTCGCAGTGCTCTGTTTGGTATCATACCATGATAGACTCCAGAACAGTTTATCAAACATTTTCTTCAGGTTGATAAGTATTATATGAATAGTAGAGAAGTTATGTATCACCAAAGTGTTTATGTGTGACGTTTCGGTGACTTGTGCGATACGTACCCTGTCACAACCAGTAAGTGTTTATGTGTGACGTTTCAGTGCCTTGTGTGATATGTACCCTGCCACAACCAGTAAGTGTTTATGTGTGACGTTTCAGTGACCAGTGGGATACATACACTGTCACAACCAGTAAGTGTTTATGTGTGACGTTTCGGTGACTTGTGCGATACATACACTGTCACAACCAGTAAGTGTTTATGTGTGATGTTTCGGTGACTTGTGTGGTATGTACCCTGCCACAACCAGTAAGTGTTTATGTGTGACGTTTCAGTGACCAGTGGGATACATACACTGTCACAACCAATAAGTGTTTATGTGTGACGTTTCGGTGTCTTGTGCGATACATACACTGTCACAACCAGTAAGTGTTTATGTGTGTCGTTTCGGTGACTTGTGCGATACATACCCTGTCACAACCGCTAAGTGTTTATGTGTGACGTTTCGGTGGCTTGTGCGATATGTACCCTGTCACAACCCGTAAGTGTTTATGTGTGACGTTTCAGTGGCTTGTGCGATATGTCCCCTGTCACAACCAGTCAGTGTTTATGTGTGACGTTTCGGTGACCTGTGCGATATGTACCCTGTCACAACCAGTAAGTGTCTATGTGTGACGTTTAGGTGACTTGTGCGATACATACACTGTCACAACCAGTAAGTCTTTATGTGTGACGTTTCGGTGACTTGTGTGATATATACCCTGTCACAACCACTAAGTGTTTATGTGAGACGTTTCGGTGACTTGTGTGATATGTACCCTGTCACAACCAGTAAGTGTTTATGTGTGCCGTTTCGGTGACCTGTGCGATATGTACCCTGTCACAACCACTAAGTGTTTATGTGTGACGTTTCGGTGACTTGTGAGATATGTACCCTGTCACAACCACTAGGTGTTTATGTGTGACGTTTCGGTGACTTGTGTGATATGTACCCTGTCACAACCACTAAGTGTTTATGTGTGACGTTTCGGTGACTTGTGCGATATGTACCCTGTCACAACCAGTAAGTGTTTATGTGTGACGTTTCAGTGACTAGTGGGATACATACACTGTCACCTTCATCAGACAAATGACCAGTGATGCGTATGTACCCAAAGCTGTTGGTTGGCAATGTACAAAAAAAACCAATCAACGTAGGTTCATTTAGCTGTCATTAATGACGAATCATACCGACCCTTAATTAGGCCTCAATTTTACGATAAAAAATGTAAAATTTCTTCGTCATGCTCTGAATTAATTAATTGCTGTTGATGGTTCATTAACAGGGGTGTCAGAAGATACATAGAATTTTGTAGATTTTTTTGTTTTTCTTGTACTGTTAAGTTGCTGATTCTGGTTAAGATGTAATAACGTGAAATATATCTGTTGATGAAATAATCAATTATTTAAATACTTGTGTTGTATGGAAAGACATGTACAGACAAGGATCCTGACCTGATGAATGTTAGCCTGGAGTCGGCTCACAGTGAGGGAGAGGACAGAGCAGAGGAGCCCGACAACGATAAAGAAGGAACCACAGTCATTGCTGAGAGTGACGAGGAGAGAAATAACGGTAAGGGAGACTACTACTGTTTATGAAATTCAGGGGAGACAACTCGACCAAAGTCATCGGAAACTCCTGTTAATTAAGTTGACAGGAGACAAATATAAACCAAACTCAGGTAAGACACATACCTATCAGTCTTTTTAGCTCACCCAAAGGACCTGTGGCATGTGAGCTTATGACCAGGATGTCAGCTCTACCTCCCTCTTTGACCTCCTAAAATGGCTTTTGACCCTCAATATGTTGCCATATAAAGGCGTCAGATTTTTACCCCCAACTTTTATGTCTTGCAAAAACACTAAGATTTGATGCAGCACCTGTTCTTTTTCATCCACCAACTCTTCCTTTAAAATGCTGCTTGTCCAGAACTTCCTTTAAAATGTTGCTTGTCCAGAACTGCTCAGTGGATTTTCACTGAATGTGGTCATCCTTGAAATTTGATAGATGGTTTCTGATTTTTTTGGTTTTTGTATTATTTTTACCAGAAATGGTCATTGTCATGTTAGCTACTAAATTCATTCACTGCTGAAGAAGCACAGCATGACATGAAGGTGATTATTATTGGGTAATAAATCTATTCTTATTTGTATTTTGGGTATCTTTCTCTTCTAGATTACAGCTCATCTGAGGAGAGTGATTCTGGTCGACGCCTCAACCTGACTTCTTCGTCAGCGTTTTCCAGTCAGAGTGAGGCAATGACAACACAGGTAGAGTCTCAGCTGTAATGCCAATATATATATATACGTGTTTCAGTTAACATGCCTGGAAAAAAATAGGGTAGACCAGCAGGCTTATATAAATTTAATTTTAATTATAATTTTTTATTTTCATAGATCAATATTTTGCTTCACATCAAATTTCACAATGTATTTCCTATCATTACAATGGCTATTGTAATTTGTCAAGAATATGGTCGGACTCCCAGAACAGGAAGAAAGTACATCTAAATGAGAGGCTGTGAGTTTTTCCTGGCTAATAAATTAATCTTAGATATAAGTAGCTGTCGGATAATATATCTAGGGTCGACAGGAAAACCTAGCGTAGGTCTGGATACCTGAAATTATATAATTTATTTTTACCTAACAGACAAAACAACTGCTAAAATTAGGGATCAGTCAAGGATTTTGGGAATTATGAGTTTTTAGAAAATTGTAAAAAAAAGACTAAAAAGAAATTAAAAAATATGAAAATGAAGTAAAAGTCAATGTTGTCAACAGGTTCAATTTACATTGTAGAATTGTATGTAATGAGACATGGTTCAATTTACATTGTAGAACTGTATTTAATGGGACATGGTTCAATTTACATTGTAGAACTGTATTTAATGAGACATGGTTCAATTTACATTGTAGAACTGTATTTAATGGGACATGGTTCAATTTACATTGTAGAACTGTATTTAATGGGACATACTTGAATATCCTAGTTTATAGAGGTTTGCAGAGTATTATTATTCCATATGAAGGGTATGGTTTTGCTTACAGAATAGGAAGGCTTTAGAAAAGGATCTAGAAAAGATGAAGCGGGACATAGCAGAGCTAGAGAAACAGCTTGCCAATAAACCAAATCAAAATGGCCGGTCCACACCCCAGTAAGTGAAATTCTAATTAGAAGTAACCTGCAATAATTTGCAAATGCAATGTACTACTTTAAATGAAAATATATAGTCATGATTGCTTAACTCATTCACCCCTGAAATTTCATAATGAACTATTCCAAACTTTTGAATTGGAAGAGTTAAAATGTGTCTTCAGGGGTGAATGAGTAAAATATCCAGGTGAGCAATACAGGCCCTTTCTGTCCCTTGTTTTATTTCACCTTAGTTGTTGACCCTGTGTCCTGGTAAAATTCAGTGATGGTTAATGTTTTAGGTCGAGCAGTAAGAGGAAGGATAAGAAGCCGAATATGGATTTAAACAAAGAGCAGGTTGTGTCCGAGGATTCTGACAAAGAGCGGGTTGTATCCGAGGATTCTAACGAGGAACGGGTACTATCCAAGGATTCGGACAGCGATTTGGTATTGGAGGTGGATGGAGATGGCCTGAATGACGGGTCTGAAGGTGATTTATACGATGGTAAGCAAGACATTATTTCATGTTCTGGAAAAGAAAAAAAAATGCTTACCGTAAAAACCCATGTAATTTGCGCACTTTTTTTCAGAAATTTGATACCCAAAGTGGGGGGTGCGTAAAATACACAGGTATAGAAAAATTCAAGTTTTTTTCAGGAAAAGATCGACGATTCTGAGAGATCGTCATCTTGGATTATGTCCCTTGGTACACGGAACTCTAAGACAAATGACGATCAACAAATTTATTTATGTCAAACATTAATAAAAGATACATAATGTGTTGTTATGTGAGTTTATGTGAAAAGTATTAATAAATAGGTAACCGTTAACAAAAAAAGTTTAGCCAAATTCCTATGCCAGAGAATCGCCGATCAACTTACGCATTACGTTTCGACATCTCGGTGCGTTTCCCCATACTATTACGAAAATGTAGTTGTTCAATTTAAGCTCCGTTCTATGTAAGTTCTGTAAGTTTTTTCAAATCGCCTATGCGTATACGTATAGCATG